TGCGGGCCTCTCACTGTTGTGGCCTCTCCCGTTGCGGAGCACAGGCTCCGGATGCGCAGGCTCAGCGGCCATGGCTCACGGGCCCAGCCGCTCTGTGGCATGTGGGATCTTCCCGGACCAGGGCACGAACCCGTGTCCCCTGCATCGGCAGGCGGACTCTCAACCACTGCGCCACCAGGGAAGCCCAACTCTCTGCTTCTTAAAGGACTATATACTTACCGACAATGGCAAACATTCATTAAGCATTTACAAGTGGCTGTCTGCCTGGGCTGTAGAGGAGAGGTGTGGGAGGATGAGGGGAAAGGAACAGAGAGCAGAAAGTATGATCCAGGCCAAGGAAACTTACTGTCAATAAGAAAAATTAATACTTTTATATACGATCCTATTTTCTAATAGAAATCTGGTATAAAATATTAATATAAATAATCTTTACTACAATATAATTCACATACCATTTAAAGTATACAATTCAAAAAAATATACAATTCAGTGGTTTTAAATGCACTTACAACATCATACATCATCAGCACTATCTAATTCCAGATCACTTTCATCATCCTGAAAGGAAACCCCGTCACCATTACCAGAGACACTCCTCATTCCCCTCAACCCCAGCAACCATTAGCCTACTTTCTGTTCCTGTATTTGCCTACACTTGACATTTCATAAAAATGGCATCATACAACATGTGGTCTTTTCAGTCTGTTTTTTTAAATTTAGCATGTTTTCAAGGCTCATCCATGTTGCAGCACATGTCATTCATGCTACAACATGAATGTAGGAATATAGCACGTACTTCTTTCTTTTATGGTTGAATAATATTCCATTCTATGGACATACCCCATTTTGTTTACCTATTCACCAGCTGATGAACATTTGAGTTGTTCCCCCTTTTGGCTATTATGAATATGCTGCTACGAACATCTGTGTACAAGTCTTTGCATGGACGTATGTTTTCATGTCTCGGGTATATATCTAGAAGTGGTGATGATAATAAGAATAATAGCCACGGGTATTTACTTACTATGTGCTAGGCACGGCGCTCTGTACTTTATATACGTTATATCATTAAATCCTTACAACCATCGTGAGGGGCAGGAATTAAATTACCATGCTACAGACATGGAAACTGGGCTCAGAGGAGTGAGACAACTAGCCAAGGTCACAAAGTCATTTGTTTGGAGCAGGAGTCGAACTCTGGTCGACTACAATTCTCCACACTCCCACCAGGACAGCCATGACACACCACTGGTGAAAAATCATTCTGTGTTTTTTTACTGTTTACAGGATAAAATACAACCTTCCTAATAAGGAGGGTGCCTGGGTTCTTCCTAACTAGCAGGCAAGTCCTCAGATGCTCAGTTGGAGCCTCATTTTTTCTTTCAATTCTGTTGGTGCTTACTGGGCACTGTGTATCAGGGCCCTGTATATAGGAAGATGGGGGACTGCCAAAGCCAATGAAGAGTTTTCTTTTTTACATTTCTTGACCACTCTGTAGAAACTGATACCTTGGCCACTCTCTCCTTTGAGTTCTAAAAACCACTTTTCAGGTTTTCCTCACACCCTGTGACTGTTCCTTCTCTCTTCTGCAGGCTCCTCTTCCTGTCTTTAAGATGAGGTCGGGCTTCCCTGGTGGCGCGGTGGATAAGAATCTGCCTGCCAATGCAGGGGACACGGGTTCGATCCCTGGTCTGGGAAGATCCCACATGCTGTGGAGCAACTAAGCCCGTGCGCCACAACTACTGAGCCTGCACTCTAGAGTTCGCAATCCACAACTACTGAAGCCCGCACGCCTAGAGCCCATGCTCCGCAACAAGGGGAGACACCGCAATGAGAAGCCTGTGCACTGCAACAGAGTAGCCCCCGCTCGCTGCAACTAGAGAAAGCCCGCGCTCAGCAACGAAGACCCAACACAGCCAAAAATTAAAAAAAAAAAAAAAAAAAAAGAAAAAAAGATTAGGTGCCATCTAGAGTTCGAGTCTAGGCACAATTCCAGCTCTCCAGAAGCTAACGGGGACCAGAGGTGACCATGCAACTACAACTCAGGCCAAGTGTGATCAGTGTGCTGAAGGAGGGACAGCAGGACTGTGGAGGCTCAGGAAGGAACACAGCGCTAAGGGGCTTGTTCGCCTGGCCCAGTTTTCCCAGCCCAGCCCTGTTCTCTCTGGTGCTCAGCACTGAGAACTCGACGGGCAGTGGCAGACATCATCTTCCCCTTTCCCAAAGCTCCTGGACCACAGTTAGGGAGGGCCGAAAGAGAGCTACAGTCATGCAGTGGAAAGGCCTCTCCTTTCTCAGGTAGCCTCAGGGGGAGCTCTGTCACTAAATATGGGCTAGAGTGGAAGGGGGATGAGGGAGAGACCTCTGGAAGGGAAAGAAGAGAAGAACAAAGAGAAAAGATAAATGGTTAAGAGAGGAAAAAAAAATTGGGAGAGAGAAGGGGAGGGGGAGAGGAAGAGAGGTGAGAGAAGAAGATAGTGGAAGACCAGAGGGTGAGATTAGAAGCTTCAAACAAGTGCTGTCAGTGATCTATATTTGCTTACAGAATGAAAAATGTGTGCCATAAACATTGGCCACTGAGTAGTTTCTAGTAGGAGTCATGTCACTTCTCATAAAGGATGGGATGGGGATAGGTAGGGCATCTCTGCACCGGGGCCAGCCAGCACAGGGATGCCTTTTAAAGCAGGGCTGGGCCTGTCACCAGCCCAGGAGGCTCTCAGCTAGGCCCCACCCCAGCCACCCCGAGCGGGAAAGCCAGCCAGGCTCCCCAAGGTTCTGGAGCCTCAGGGCAGCACGGCTGCTCCCACTTTAGGAAGGCTGAGGCAGGGGCATCATGGATAATGTCCATCTAATATTAGTCCCCCAGCCCCTGCACCCTTGCTCTGGTGCTCTGGCTTGACTAATTGCTGTAATAATTGATGGAACCTGACTTCTACAACTGATCGATTTCACCTCCACGACCAACGGCCACAAACCATTACACTCCAATAAATAACCACGTTGGGCCTCACCCGCCTGCCCTCTCCAGGGGCATCAGGATGGCCCATGCCCTGGCCTGACCTCCCCTTGCCTCCCACCCAGGGCCCCTCCGGGCCAAGCAGCTGGTCTAGAGGGTCAGGCTTCTGGAAGTAAGTCAGAGGGCTGGGCGGAGGTGGGGAGCGCTAATCGCAGGCCATCCGTCACCTCCCACTGGCTGTCTGGGGCTCAGGCCAACACCTGGAGCACCCCAGGCAGTATAGTGCAGGACCCCTCCCCTCCTCTCCCTGCTTCAGATTAGTGTGTCCCAGCTTATAATATTTGATAAACAGCAGATTGGCTCCCTGGCAGCACTGCTGCGGCTGCGCCTGCCCCCTACAGCTGTGGAAGGTCACTCATTGGGGAAATATGTTTCTGTCAG